GGGCTGAACTGGCCACACACACACACACACACACACAAATAAATAAATAATTTTTTTAAAAAAATATGATGAGTTAAAATTGGAATATGCTGTAAGTATATTTGTTATTTCTAATAACAATTTTATATATTTTAATCATTTTTGTAGCAGTTTTGTTGAAATGAAAATATTTGGATATCAGATCAAATAAAACTTTAAAATTAATTATACTTGCTTATTTTGGCTTAATATTGTGGCTGTCACATCATGGTGTCATATGCCTATAGTTTTTGGCTACTCAGGGTTCTTTCTGCTTTATGCAGGAAGGAGGATTGCAAGTTTGATATCAGCCCAGGCAGTTTAGTAAGATTCCCCTTCTCAAAAACATTTTTTAAAGGGCTGGAGATGTTCTTCAGTGGTAGAACAGTTGCTTCACATGCACTAGCTTCTGTTCAACTTCCAGTACTGCAGAACAATAAGGGGGATGTTACTAGAAGAATTAAAATTTCATGTATGACATATTTCCATTCTGATCAATTTTTCTTAAAGCAAATATTAAATGATACACAGGGCCAGGGAGATAGCTGGCATTCTAAGCACCTGCATAGCAAGTGCAAAGCCCCAGTTTTGATACCCGGGACCACATGTCATTGCGGCCCTGTGCTAAGCTGGCTACTGAAACCAGGTATGGTGGTAAATGCCTGTAATTCCAGTGCTGGGAGGCTGAGACAGGAGGATCACTGTCAGAGCAGCATAGCAAGACCCAGTGTCAAATAAAATAAATAAATAAAGCTTAAATAAATGAACCCAGGTTTATCTTATTTTTTTACACTTGGGTTAATTAAAAAAATAGTTGCTCTTGATCTTTTGTGAACAGGATTTTAAGAACTCGAGAGAATCAGACACGAAAAGCTGTCCCTTAATTTCTCTCATAATGTGAAGCCCAGTTATAAAGATTAAAATAAAGGCAGACTTTGCAGTAGCATGAGGTGTTCAAAGAAAGGTTTAAGGGTAGGGAGAAGAGAAAAGGTAATCAAAAATGATTAAGATATGTTATATACTAGTACCAGTCCCCTAAATGAATGTAAATTGCATGTTTTGCAAACACATACTAACAAAAAAATAAATTGTGAGCTATTTCAAATGTACATATATAAAAATATAATAAAACTTTCTGTACCTGTAATCCAGAGGAAACAAGTAGAATAATTTTTACATAAAAATAGGATAGTATAATTAACCTTTTTGTACCTACAATCCAGTTTTAAGCAATCCACTTTGATGGATCTCATTTCATTCGTATCTCTATTCACTTCTTATACTCTGTATCCCTTCCTATAGATTGTTTTGAACCACATAGAAAATATTTTTAAAAAGTGCTTTTTTTGAGTCCTAGCCCAGGTCCGGTGAGTGTGCGGAGAGTTCCCTGCTACCCTGCGCCGGCGGGACCAGTCCCAGCCCAGG